TGCTATAGTACAAGCCCTACTAGCGCACTAATTCTCTTTATGCTAAAGAAGGATAGTACACTCTGCCTATGCGTAGACTATTAAGGCCTAAACGCTGTTACTATAAAAGATCGTTGCCTGCTCCCGCTTATTAGGGAGACCCTAGACTGCCTATTAAGCGCACGTTACTACACTACCCTTAATCTAAAAGATACCTACTACCGCATACAAATTAAAGCAGGGGACGAGTGGAAAACAGCCTTTAGAACCTAATACAGGCATTTTAAGTACTTAGTTATGCCTTTTAGGCTTACTAACGCCCTAGCAAGCTTTTAAGTATACATTAATAAAGCGCTAAGCGGGCATTTAGACTATATATGTGTAGTATACCTAGATAATATACTTATATATACCTACAACAATAATATTGCGCTACACTAGCGCGTAGTACGCGCTGTACTTTAATTATTAAGGGAAGCTAAGTTGTATGCAAACCTAAAGAAATGCACTTTCGCGGCTAGCGAGGTACATTTCCTAGGATTTATCGTTACAAGGCAAGGCATACGCGCTAATCCTGCGCGCGTTAAGACTATTGTACAATAGCTAACACCTACTAACATTAAGGAGCTACAATCTTTTTTAGGCTTTGCGAACTTCTATTAACGCTTTATTAAGCACTACGCTGTAGAAACAGCACCCCTTATAGATATCTTAAAAGGGAAATAAGCGTTATATTAGAACGAGACTATAGACGCCTCTTTTAAAAGGTTAAAGAGCCGCTTTACAGGCGCGCTTATTATGCGCTATTTTAATAAGACGCTTCTAATCCGCACTAAAACAGATGCTTCTACATTCGCTATCTTAGGCATATTGTTACAATTGTTTAAAGACAAGAAATAGCACCTAGTCGCTTTTATCTTAAGGAAACTCTAGAGTGCGGAGTTAAATTATAAATTATACGATCTAGAACTCCTAGCTATCGTATATAGCTTTAAGCAATAGCAGCACTACCTAGAGGGTGCACAGCACACTATACAGGTCTTAACTAATTATAACAACCTGCGTTTAATGCGCTTAGTACAAAAGCTTAACCTACGTTAAGCACGTTAGGCTCTTTATCTAGGAGCTTTTAATTTTAAGGTAAAGCACTGCCTAGGGAACACTAACCTAGCAGATAGTCCTTCTAGAAGAGCAGATTACGAACAGGAAAACCTGTCCCTAACTTAGTTGTTGCCTACCCTACAGAATAAGCTTCTAATAGGAGTAGAGCATAGTAGAGCAAGAGGATCTATACCTAGGCTTAGTCTAGTGGGCGCGTGTAAGACGCACGTAGCTAACATTTGCAGAGCTGTAAAGGTCCCTACTGCTAGCGCTATAGGATGCATACTATGCGTGCTACGCTTACTAGCTAGGGTACTAGTTAGTAGCGAACCTGCATTAGTAGAGTTAGAAGCTTTAATAGATGTACTGCTCTAGTTGCAGCAAAGGGACGCCTTTGCCTAGCAGCGGGTCGCAGACTCTAAGCGAGCAATGCGCACTTAAAGCAGCAGAGATGCGCCTGTTTAGCGCATTAACGAAAAGGAAGTCCTAAAATACAATAGCAGAATTTATGTTCTAGAGGAACTAGCTATTAGGCAAGAGATTTTGTCCTAGAACTATAATACACGCATAGCAGGCTACTTTAGTACACGTAGGACGCTTAAGCTTATTAGTAGGCTATACTATTAGCTATTGCTTAGCTAAGACGTTTAGGAATACGTAAGGACGTGTGCTGTTGTCAGATTAGATAAGATAATGCATAGAATTAATAGATGTTAATTCTTTTTTTTCTCTCCCCTCCCTAGAAGGTAGTGCTATCACGATGTATATGCTCTCTACAAATAAGGCCGAAGTAGGATCGAGGCAGGTCGGCTAATATAGCTGCAATCGACACTAATGCTAAATTGCCTGCTAGATAGCCTTCTATTAGATAGCAACACATGCTATCTAACACACCCCCTTAGCTTAGAGCCCTATTGCAAGCTGCACAAACTAGTTATTCGATCCTACATTATAAGGCCTTCTAGCTGCTCCTGCAACTTCTTAAGCTCAACTTCCTTTAACAGGGCTTCTTTGCGTTTAACAAGTCCTAGTTAATTAAGGAAACTAGCCTATTTATTAGCTGGCAGTAACTTAGTAAATCCGTCTACGATTATGTTGTCAGACAGAATATGCTCTACCTTAATTATCTTTCGGGTAACTTCTTGTCGTAGCTAGTAATAGTGTATATTAACGTGTCGCAGCTTTATCTAGAGCTTAGCTACATCTTTATTTACTAGTTAGATAGTCTAGGTATTGTCGCACTTAATTGTGATAATTGGATCGCTTAGGGTTACCTAGAGCTCCTTCAACAATCGCGATGTAAAAATTGCCTCTTTAGCTACTTAAGACAGTGTAAGTAATTCTGCTTCTGTCGTTAACGTTGTAACAGTATCTTGTTTGCTTGCTCTCTAGGCGATGAGTCCACCGAATAGCTTGATAGCGTATCCCTAAGAGCTTTTCCTGTCTAATGTATTGTCTGCAAATAACGCGTCGCTAGCTATCTTAAGGTCTTCGCCTCTGCTAAGTTCAAGAGCTAGGGCTTTTATCCTTTTAAGATAGAGGAGCACACGGTCGGCAGCGTTGTAATGCTCTGTGCTTGGATTAACTAGAAAGCGAGCGAGTCGTAATGTCGTAAATGCTATGTCGGGTCTCGTAGTAACTGCTGCGAACAACAGCGAGCTAATCTTGCGTTAATATTAGTTAATTTCGGCTGGCTCTGCTAGGCTGTCTCTTAGTTTAAGCTCGATACTTAACATTAGCGTATTATGTCTTATGTCTTGTTAGCTTGTTAGTTAACTGATTTTGTTAATGTATGCAGCTTGTAATAGCTAAATTGTCCTCTAAGTCTAGTCGCGTATTACTTCTACACCAAGGAACTACTAAAGGTCGTCTCCTCTAGTGCATAGATACTTGTTCTGTACCCGCTCAATTGCATTTATTACTTCTTGTTGTTGCTTTAAGTAGTACGCGATTATAATGTCGTCCACGTAGAAGAAGATAATCACTCTATCCTTAATTATACAGCATAGCTCTTGCGGGACTTGTTTAAATCTAATTTAGACTAAGGTTGCTGTAAAATCCTTTTGCTAGAGTAATAGCGAGATGCAGAGGCCGTATAGTGCCTTCTGTACCTTAAGTAGAGTGCCGGGCTTCTGATATCCTCGCGGCATCCTTATGTATATCTCTCGATTAATCGCTGCGTGCACAAACGCATTTGTAACGTTGTATTGCTTTAGTTCAAGATCAAATTTAGCAGCAATTGCTATTAGCATCCTAAATAAGCGGCCTGCTAATGTCGCTGCGTACGTATCTTAGGCTGTAATATCGCGTTGCTAGTCTCCTCTTACTATAAGTCTTGCCTTACATTTATTAAGGCGGTGATGCTTATCAAGTTTATACGTATAGACCCACATTGTCACGATGTTCCACGACCACAGGTTCTAGCTACAGCGTAGCGAGCTACTAGGGACCCTTCGGGACACCGTCGGCCCACACTAGCCACGATCACGTGACGTAGATATATATTATCCCTCCGAGAGGCTTGATAGCTCCTTAAGGATTCGTCTCAATACAAGCCTATACCGATATCTCAGTGCCTGCCTAACTACTCCTTACACACATGCAATCTAGTATTTACTATCCTGTTCGTTTAACTAGCGACGCTAGGATCTTAATCTAGGATTTTATTTGCTTGTGGCTTTCGAGGTGTGTTCTTTCTGCTTCCTTAAACATGTTGTAGAGTAGGTGTTCTTCTAGTTTCGAGTGTGCTGTAGGTAATAATAGCAATTAGTTGCGATAAGGTTTAATCCCTTTAGCTATTAGTCGTTTTAGCTAAGCTTTATTAATTGGCTTGCCCTTGTGTTAACTAATATGTCTAGCCTTAGTGCCTGCTATAAAGGCGGCTGCCTATAGAACCGTTATTAATATAGCCTGGTTAGATAGGCTTGTCTTGTTGTTATTGTTTACCTCTTCTTAAACAAGAAAGGCTACTAGCAGAGGAGTTGGTAGTAGCGTCGGACATGCCTCTATAACTTTCCTCCCTTAGTAGTATCTGGGTTGTTGTCTACGCGGAGTCTCCTCCTGCACTGTATCGTCCTTATAGAATGTTTCCGTTTCTAGTTGTTAGCTCTTGTCAAGATGGGCGATGAAGACAGTGGTCATGTAACTAATGTTGCATGACTAATTAGCGTCAGTACTTAGTCTTAGGTCTCACCTTTACAATACGATAACTCTTACACCCCCTAAGTTTTTGACAGGTTATGAGCCCGGCGCTTTCGCGTATTGCTTACGGCCAATACAAAACAGGGAGTAAGGGTTCCCTCATGTTGGCTGCATGTTGTATGACCCTCGTAGTCCTAACAAGGCTACGTTGTACAATGGGCTCGAGGGGCGAGAAGCGCCTCAGCAATCGAGAGGGGGTTCAGGACGATCCTAGTAATCCTAAACTTGTCACAGCACCGAGAGCAGTGCTCGCACCAGTTCCCTCGTGATAGGACCTCGCTGCCTTGACAAAGCCGCGTTGTAGAGAGTCTCGAGGGGCGAGAAGCGTCCCAGCAATCGAGTGGGGATCTAGGATAAGTGCTGGTAAGCCCGGACTCGTCCAAGCGCCTTGAAGTGCAGTTTCCAGCTCCCTCGCGATGGGGCCTCGCAGCTCTAACCAAGCTGCGTTGTATAGCAAGCTCGAGAGGCGAGAAGCGCCTTAGCAATCGAGAGGGGGTTCAGGATGAGCCAAATGGAAGTCCCTGAACTCGTCAGAACGGTGCAAGGGTAGCCAAGGAGGTACACGCGTCCTTCCGGACGATCCGAGGCCTTAAAGGGCCGAAAAGGATAATGGGCACCGAGTAGAAAATACTTCTATCGCAGCACCCGTCAACTATCAGCAATCGACACGAGCACGCAATACAGTTATTGGAGAAGCCTTTTCAGCCACTGTCCTGGAGATGTCCTCGACTCAACCCACTCGTCGCAATATCACCGCCGCCGAACAGCGTCGGCTCGAAGAGATGGAACGCAACCGCCGCATCAATCCGGACGGAAGCACTAGCGTGCAGGTGATGCACGAACGGCAAGAGGAGAGAGGACAACCAGGGCAGGAAGGTAGAGATAATGGACATGCGGCAACGCGTGACGAGATGGAGAGACTAAGAGCGGAGAACCGCAGACTCAGAGACTTGACAGGGGAGCTACAAGTGATAAGTGAAGGTCCGGCAGGCAGCACAGATAACAGTGATCTGGTAGAGGCCTTTCTGGACTTTGAGAAACATGCCAAGGTTAGCAGTGCTGGCAAAGCTGTTAATAAGCAAGGCTTCAAGAAGTTAGGAGGAGTCACCAACTACGAGGGGTAGAAGAAATCGTTTCAGACCGTGGCTGAAATACATAACCTCTAGGAGATGTATAAAGGCAGGTTTGATGCGCTTTCGACCACCACAATTCAGACAGTGTCGACGAAGTTCAAACGACTTTGCCGAAATGCCATAGGCATCCTTCATACTGCCTGCGACGGGACGATTAGGTCGTCACTCCAAAGCGAGAGCACCGAGCTGCCCTCCTAGGCAATAGCACTCCTAGGCGAGCGCAACCGCCAGTAGGGGAGCGCGATCGTCTGGTCATTGTTCAAAGAGTTCTTAGGCACTACACTTGCTAACACTAGGAGCGTTAGCGAGTTTCGCAACAAGCTGATAGAGGTACAGGAGAAACTGGTCGCGGTTGACGCAGGCTACCGCCTGCCGTCGTGGCTGGTCAACTCCCACTTCTTGACAGCACTCACTAGTGCGTTTAACAACAAGGTCGCAGTCCTGAGCTCGGATGAGTCCATTGTCTCAGTCACCAACCTGAAGGACTTCTAGACCTTGGCGCGAGAGGTGATCCAAGAGGAACAACGACAGATGAACAATGACGACGGCATCACTCTGGCAGTAAACAGCCAGAAGAGGTGCACGCATTGCGGCAGAGTGGGCCACCTAGCCGTTGCAGGGCCGAAAGGATGCTACAGAATGAACCAGAACGCCAGATACAGGCCGAAATGGTACATTAAGCACCTTGAGAATCAAGGCAGAAAAAGATCTGGTACAGAAACAGTGCACCCAGAGAGTACTGCAAAGAAAAGAAGAATCGAAGAAAGTGACTTCGTGCAAGGATCCACCTCCGATTGACTATTAGTGCGCGGGGAGAGTCTCTGCTGGGGCATGATTATCGCATACGTGTTATGCCTGTCGCAGTAGACTGCTTTAGCCTGCGTAATGGTAGCGTTAGGAGCAAGATAGTAGATAGAAGTCGAGGCAGAGACATAGGCAGAGACCAACGGCCCATGGCTGCCACTAGCATTAAGTGTTATCAACGGACGACTGGCCCCAGATGATTGGGTCCTCGATAGTGGAAGCTACACGCACGTGACCGGAAGACAGTCGCTTTTTGAGACGCTAAGTCCGGCGCCACCCGGGAAGCGGGTGATGGGCGTTGGTGGAGGCGTGGCAGTCGCTAGCGTTAGGACAGTCAAGATCCCGATCGCCTGCGAGGTCAACAGCAAGGTCTACAACAAGACCTTTACTATCCAGAACGTCTCGTATGCGCCAGGTCTCCCTTTTAACATCATCTCTTGTCGAGCGTTGACGTTAACGAATGACGGAGAGAAGGCAGGCATACGCTTCGTGATGGATGGCCATGATCTTGAGATTGTACGGACAGAGACTGGCCAAGTGATAGCCACGGCTGACTGCCGCACCACCGACCTGTACGTACTGTCACGACCGAAAGCAGAAGTCACCCGAAAGCGACGACCGCAGCCATATGCCTTCACAGCAATACCCTTAGACGTGTCCATCAACACTTACCATCGTCGACTAGGGCATCTTGGAGAAGGGAGGTTGAGAAGGCTGCTGCGGCGTCTCAATGCATCAAGTGCAGAGGACCCACTACTACCATGCGAATCCTGCAATCGAACAGGTCTAAAGAGGAGAAACTTCAAGGACTCCGGGACAAGGAGCAAGAAGCCTTTACAGAGGGTCTTTGTTGACCTAGCAGGGCCAGTTAACGCGTACGATGGCAAGAAGAAAGTTAATGATCGCTTTGCTCTTACCATTACAGACAACTATACAAGATACAGATGGGTGAGAGTGTTGCGACACAAGAACGATGCAGCAAGAGAACTGCAGATCTAGAAGACCTAGGTCGAGAAAGAACTAAAACACGAACTGCTAGCCGTCCGAAGAGATAATAGCGGAGAGTTCGATAACAAACTATTAAACGAGTTTTTCAGAGAGACAGGCGTCAGAGTTGAGCCTACAGCACCGTATAATCCAGAGCAGAACGGGGTCGCAGAAAGAGGCATAAATATTTTGTTCACTGCAGTGAGAGCGATACTAGACGAGTCGAATCTCGGTTAACATTGTTTCGCTGAGATCCTTATTAGTGTCACTGACATAGTCAACTATTGCCCAACGTCGGCTAATCCCAACGATTAGCTACTATACGAGCGACTGTATAGAAGGCCGCCGCTAATAGAGCACCTGCAAGTGTTGGGCTGCGAGTGCTGGAAGCCCCGACCCCGAAGCGACTACTCGAACTTCAGGAAGCTTGATCCTTGGGCGGACAAGTGCTATCTTCTCGGTTCTGTTGCGAAACATCAGTATCGGGTATAGAACACCTGCACCGAGCGAGTGGAGTTAGTTCGAGATCTGCACTTCAATAAGGACATATTTGGTCCAGGGGGAGAGGTCCCCGAGACTGTGCGCCGACTAGCCTATTGCGACGAGGTTAAAATTCAAGATACCCTCGCACATAGGGCTAAGCGGCGACGGTACTCCACGATCGAGGGGGAGACTCTAGCGGCTTTGTCCGTGAAGCCTGCTGCGATCAATAGAGGACTCGTGTTGATCGCCGAAGACGGCGAGATAAATGAGGCAGAACGCTTCTCTAAAGAGAGTACACAGACTTAGGTGGCCCAGTCGCTAGCGTCCGTGGACCATAACGATTAGAGCGCAGTAATTGAGTGTCTAGCTGCGCTGTCAGCGCTAGAGAAGAATCAAGATAAACTCGAGAACCATGTAGTTGATTATGCTGCTGGCGGCGCATACGAACCAAAGAACTATGAGGATGCTGTGACCTGTGCGGACGCATCACGATGGATTCCATCCATAGACGAAGAAGTCAAAGAGATTATAGCCAACGACGTGTGGGATGTTGTGAATCCCCCACCAGGAGTGTCAATTCTTACCGGCAAGTTTGCATACAAGGTCAAGACTAATGCCGATGGAGAAGTCACTCGTTACAAGTCCCGATAGTGCGCCCGCGGATTCGAACAAGAGCTAGGCGTCGACGTTCTTAAGACATTTGCGTCGGTAGTAAAGCCGATAAGTTACAAGCTTCTGTTCGCTCTGGCCTGCCTGCTAGGCTGGTCGATCGAGCAGATGGACGTCAAGACAGCATTTCTATATGGCAAGATCGACACAGACGTCTATATGGAACTCCTACCGAATATCAAGGACCAGTACCCTAGGAAGATTTGCAAGCTCAAGAAGGCCCTATATAGGCTTAAGCAATCTCCTCGGATCTAGTACCTTACCTTAAGCTAGGCGCTGCAGCCAATGGGATTCGTGGCAATCTCAGAAGACTATAGCGTCTTCGTTAATCGAGACAAACGTCTGGTTATTGCGACATATGTGGATGACCTCTTGATCTTAGGGAAGGATCAGGAGACGATTGCATCCATCAAAAGCGCTCTGTCGGAGCACTTCAAGATAAGCGATCTCGGTCCGGTCGCCCACTATCTAGGAGTAAAGGTAATCTGGGAGGATACCTCGCGGGGTAGTAGGATTAAGCTGACCTAACGCGCATATGCCGAGAAGGTGTTAAGAACCTTCGGAATGGCAGACTGTACTCCTGTGGCGACTCCGATGGATAAGAATCTTGTGTTAGAACCTAGTAAAGAGGCGTCAGACTCGCAGGATCAGAAGTAGTACTAGCGAGCGGTTAGTAGCCTCATGTATCTAATGCTCTGTACTTGCCTAGATATTGCGTATACGGTTAGTCAGCTGGGTCGCTTCGCCGCCAATCCGTCACAGAAACACTATGCGGCCTTGAAGAGGCTTTTTTGGTACCTGAAGGGTACTAGTGACTACGGCCTAGTAATAGACACGCAAGGTTGGCTAGACGTTCTAACGGGCTACACGGACGCGAACTAGGGAAGAGATAATGATCGTCGATCAACTAGGGGTTACGTCTTTACATTTGCTGGCACTGCTATTAGCTGGAAGTCGAAGCGTTAGGCTACTGTGTCGCTGTCTAGCTGTGAGGCTGAGTACATCGCGGAGTCTAAGGCCGCGAAGGAAGCGATATAGCTGCAGCGACTGTTGTGTCAGCTGCGAGTTGACCTCTCTTAGCTGAGCGCGTCTAAGCTAGTAACTATACTCGGGGACAATTGAGGGGCCCTGGCCCTGGCTAAGAACCCGATGTATCATGCGAGAACGAAGCACGTAGACATCTAGTACTACTTTGTAAGAGAGAAGGTGGAAGAGCGGCTAGTAAAGATAGAATGGATTGCTAGTAGGCTGAACCTAGCAGATGGACTCACCAAGCCACTGGGCAAGACGAAGTTTAAGTCCTTTCGACGGATGGTTGGCTTGCGGAGGATCGATGACTAAGGCAACGGCTCCCGGAGCATGGAACAACTTGTGCATAGCCGACAGCATTAAGGGGGAGCACTGCCCTCATCGAGGGGGAGTGTCAAGATAGGCGATGAAGACAGTGGTTATGTGACTGATGTTGCATGACTAATTAGCGTCAGTACTTAGTCTTAGGTCTCACCTTTACAATACGATAACTCTTACACCCCCTAAGTTTTTGACAGCTCTAAGTACCTAGGAGTTTGACTGTCTTTACCTAAGTCGCAATTTCCTCTAGAGTGTTATGCATAAGGTTGTCTATTAGATCCTTAGTTTTGCTATTAAAGACTACTTCTTCGTTAAACACTACATTACGGGTGCTAATTACTTTAGCTATAGATAGGATCTAAATGCAGTAGATGTTAGTTGACTAATATCCTACTAGATACCTAATCTAGGCTTTTAGGTCTAGCCTTTGCAGCCTAGACTTTCCTTAGTGTGTATTATTTGTTATCGCGAAAGCTTTGCACCTATATGCTCTTAGATAAGCTTAATTTAGTCTTTAGGGTCCTGTAACTATGCTATTTATAGCAGCTGCGCGCGTGAAGAATATTTCGTAAGGCGATTTCTACTTGTTTAGATAATTTAGCGTTCGATTGTACAGGTATACTGCCGCTCTAGTGATTTCTAGCTAGAGTTCCTATAGAAGATTCGCATCTAGTCGAATTGCGCGTGCCTTCTCTATTATTACACCCCCTAAGCGTTCAGCTCCTCCGTTCTGTGCTTGTGTATCTAGAGCAGAAGGCTCGATTCTAATTAATAGGAACGTGCACTATCTCTTAACTTCTTGCTTAACTGTAACAATTTTATTATCTGTCTTAATAACCTTAACCGTGATGTTAAATTAATTCTTTATAAACTAGACGAAAAGGCTTAGTTAGCGGATTATAGAGCGTGCTAGCCTATTGTCCTTAAAATAGAAGTCCTAAACGTATCGGGAGTATCGACAGGTAATTAGCATTTAACTCTTTTCTTTTGTAAAGCTGCCTGCTTTATATTTATAGAAGTTAATAGCAATTCTCTTACTAGGGCCTTTGTTATTTAGCCTTAGAGCTCTGCGTATTTAGCGCTTTGATTTCGATCTGCTGTAAGCGTCGCATTGCACTGTAGTAATGCCTATGATCTTTACCTCCTTAGATTGTTGTACGAGGTGTTTAATAGCTAAAGGACTAGGGTAGCTAAGGCGCTTGTGCTATAGCATTGCTGTCGCCCTCTGCGATCGTCGTTTGGCTCGATTTATACGCACATGGAAGGCTGCAGCTAGCTCTGCTAGGCTCTTAACGACCTATTAGCCGTGTTGTTCTAACAGAGTAGTAATAATTAATCTGTCCTATTGTTAAAGGCTAGTTAGGTCTTCTCTGTTTTCCTACTATATGCCTTGTCTTCTAAGCAGTCTGAACGATATTAGGCTGCAGAGGAAATCTAGACACTATGCTACATTGTCCAAGCGGAGGGTGTGTTCCCCTTGTGCTCCCTTAGTTGTTACAAGGACATTTCCGTATCCTCGTATCCAGACTCTCGTATTTCTAGCCTAAATGTAGTCTCCTATTGCTAGTAGGCGTACGTCCTTAAGCCTTAAGAGATTATTGCAGATGTGCGTAGTTAAGCCGGAGTCTAGGATAAATGCATCCTTTAGTGGATATCCTTATTAGCTTGCGCTAAATGCCGCTTCTATCGTGCTCTCTTTAAGTCTTGCGATCGCGCGCCTATCTAGTCAATTAATAGTAGGGTCTAGAGTTTGTAATGTCTTAATATAGGGCGTAATTAAGCGTAATGCCGTAGTTAGGCGTAGTCGCTTCGTTCCTAGGTTTGTTTCTTATACTATTCTTTGTAAGTCGGTGTTATGTTTAAGTTTGTACTGTACTAGTTTTGTGACGCCTCGATTTGGCTTAAACCACTTAGGTGCCTTGGCTGTATTCACATAGTAGCAGTCAGATATCTTGTGACGCTGTTTACAGGCAGGACATATGTCTCTAGCTGCCGCTGTATTCCTCTCTAGGAACTGCTTAGTTTTAGTACTCTAACTACCTATCTTTCGCTTGTTTAATAGCCTAGGGTTTCCCTAGCCTTAATTGTTATTGTTAGATAGCGCTCTTGTTTCTACACTAGAGGCGTCCCTCTGTGTGTTCGAGTCGGATTCACTACTTACCGCGTATAAGTCTCCTACCGCGAAGGCGCTCTTTAGCTTCCCTCTTAATAAATAGTAAAGGCTTATAAACTCGCAGAAGAGTTTTATCATCTTTTTCCTATTTATAGCTTTCTTATCGTATCCTAGCGCTTAGAACCCTGCAGTCTAGGTTAATGCTACTTTTAATACGGAGCCCAGGAAGTCGTCTATTATAGCTTGTATTTGCATAACCTCGGCTACCTTAAGGGTCTTAGCTCGAGTTGCTGCCTAATTATATTTACTTAGCCATGTCTCCCAATTTGCGGTTATTCGCATTAGCCTAAGTGCGGCGTAGTATCTCTCTCGTACTTGCGCCCTTTCTTTATCTACGTCTACTCTAACTGTGTCTTAGAGGGAGGTTGTCTATTCGCGCAGCGTTCTATTTTCTGCGTAGCAACTAAGTTGCAGATGCAGTATTACAGTCGTAAGGATGTGTTTAACCGTCTTTAAGATTCTATTATTCTCCTCTTAATAGTCCTTTTTAAGTATCTTGCATAATTTAAGGCAGAGCTTGTAGTCTTCGCGATCCTCCTTGTATGCCTCTTGTCCCTTGTCTAAGAGATCTAATGTCCGCGTTAGTATTACAGGATTTTGCGAGGCAGTTGTCGACGTGTCTATCGTGTCCTGCGCTGCTCCCCGTGCGTTGCTTCTCCTAACTCAGACCGTATATAATAATGCAATTAAGGTATTGCTCGTATTCGTTAAAGGTTCGTATTGCGAGATGTCTAGAGGTAGCGGAACCTCTAGTCGTATGCGTTAGAGTCGTACTCCTTCGGGGTCTGCTAAAGGCCAGATGCCTTGCGATTAGCACTTTAGCTTAAGTTGGCGGTACTAGGGGATCTAATTACTTAAGTCGGTAAGAATAACTGTCGCGTCCCTCTAGCTCTAATTTGCTGCCATTTTGGTAGTTTGTCGCTCGTTGTGGAGGCAATAAGACTCTTAATTGTCAGATTAGATAAGATAATGCATAGAATTAATAGATGTTGATTCTTTTTCTTCTCTCCCCTCCCTAGAAGGTGGTGCTATCACGATGTATATGCTCTCGTACAAATAAGGCCGAAGTAGGATCGAGGCGGGTCAGCTAACATAGCTGCAATCGACACCAATGCTAAATTGCCTGCTGGATGGCCTTCCATCAGATAGCAACACATGCTATCTAACAGGTGTATATTAGCCTTAGAAGAGGTTAGTAGGGCTTGAATTGGAGGAGCTATAATAAGGAGGAGTTTACAAGGCGCAGAAAGTTAGTAGGGTAGGCCGCTCGCTTGCGTGGGCCGCTCGCTTGCTAACTATGTTTAGAAGCCTGCTACTATGTAAGGGGCTACGCTCAGGGAGCTATCGCACAGGTATACTAGAGTTGTATTCGATAGAGAAGAGAACTACAGGTAGCTAGGGTTCTGAAGGTCGTTTAGGGGGCGGCGGCTCGGGATAACCTTCTGCCGGGCTCGCTTGCACAGAATCCGGGTGCTTAGGGGCGGCACCCGGAATCTGTGGACAGTGCGCCTCGCGCACGTGACCAAGATATTATCAAGGACTCACCAACTGGGCTCCAGCCCATCACATACTATTACCTATCTGCACGGTGGATACCCCACGCCGGAGGAACATTATACTTTGTCTACAGGATAGAACAACTCCAGATAGTTGTGACAGTCGCGAGCGCGACTATCGGTAGTGGTGATAGCCGCGCGCAGGACTAGTGATAGTCCTTGGCATAACTATCAGTCACGTGACCTGGCCTTCCTTCGGGTGGCCTAGCGCCTAGCGATACAGCCTTGCTCCGCTGTGCCCAATGATGAAGCCCGTGGCTGTAATTCGTAACACGAAATTCCTGCGCGAACGCGCCCTGTCGTACGCTCCTTAAGCTACGTCCTTGTCATAGCCTGACCCCGTACTGTCAGCGATATCGTAGTGAAAATATTGATCACGTGCACCTATCTTGCCTGCCTGCCGACCCCGTAACATTGTATACTACATATGAATTAACGTACAACGTGCTTCGGCTATAGTAATGTACCTACTACACATGTGGGTGAGGTGGGGTTGAAGCTTGAAGCTTAAAGCTTGGCGGCGGGGTGGGGTAGCGCGCTCTGTTGCGGTGTTCGCTGTAGTTCTCGCTGTGGTTATTGCTGTTGTTTATCTTGTCAAAAGTGGCGAGGGTGGAGAGATGAGGTAATGGCGGTGATAGAGAGGGAGAGGGATATGGCCTGCCAGTCGGGCTCCTCTAGAGGCTCTGCGAGGCTCCCTTTCTTCTTCAATACCCACTGCGTGGGGGCTAACGGCTTCGCCGGATGCCTCCGGAGGCTTTGCCGAGGGCTTTTTTGGCGGCTGCGCCGAGCTGTTACAGGGTGGCTATTTTCGCTGTTTGGAGTTGAGGTTTAGAATTCGTCACATGATCTCCTAGCGTCTTGGCGGTCACCCTTCTTAACATCTTAGCATAGTTTAGACGAATGAGAGCAGAGCTTAATTTAGGCTAATCAGCGTCGATTTCTTTGTGCATCGAGAGCCCCAAATGGATGATAATCTGCAGCTAAGGCTACAATAAGGCTACCCCGCCAAGCATATATACGAGTCTGTCGGTCACATGTGCAGATCGACAAAGACTCTAGGCAGCAACGTCTATATTCCTGAACACTGTAGAAGATATCAAGAATGTATTGCCAGCGATGCTCGCGCTTCCAGGACGATGTCGGAGCCTTGATACGCCAGAAACGCCTCACTTATGGAAAAGATCAAACGGAGGCCGCAGATGCAAGACCCCAGACAGCCCCAGACCTGTCCACTTACTGGCCATCCCACGAAGCAGTTCTCTTTCACAATTTAGAGGAACTCCGGGCAGCCTACAATACCCCATGCCCACTGTGTCGCCGTGTGTTCAAATGTATCGACCAGGGCGATTGGGCTTCGCTCAAGACTTTCAAGGCCGTCCGAACCGTACTCATGCTTGAAAGACTCAAGGGAAAGCCCACCCTGAAGGCCATACTCGATACTGATCCGTCAATCAAGTCCGTTCGCATGACGGCTAGAAATTTGGTCAAGAGCACGAGGAAGCTCAAATATCTGGGGGAGCACCTGGAGAGCTTGGAAGATCGGGATCCACTCATTGGAAGGTTACAAGAATGCGCAAGGTTGGAGAATGCTTCTACAGGGTCAGTGGCGAGTTTAGAAATGGCTAGGTTCTGGCTGGAAGAGTGTTTGGAGGGTCACCCAAACTGTGCGAGGGACAATCTGGGATGGCTGCCCACGCGTGTTATTGATGTTGGCGATGCGGATGGCAAGAATCCACCTCGGCTGCTCGAGACGGCGGATTTGCCATCTTGCAAGTCTGAATCGTCAAATCCCCTCGTCTTTGTGGCTCTCTCGCATTGCTGGGGCTCAAAGCAAATCATCACGACTACCACATCTACACTCACAGACCGAAAATGCAGCATCGACTTTCGCGATCTCCCCAAGACCTTCTAAGATGCCGTGATTACCATTCACAGATTAGGACTGCGCTATCTTTGGATTGACAGTCTCTGCATCATACAAGACTCCGTGGACGACTGGATGAAAGAGAGCGTGCAGATGTCCACCATCTACAGACGCGCCCTCTTCACGATCATGGCTGCTCATGCCAGCGGCGGCAACGAAGGCTGTTTCGTGAAGAGAGATGGCCTCGCGCGGCTACCATTGACGCTGCGGTTCAACGCACCTGATAAGTCGGAGGCTTGGAATGCGTGCTTCTAACTACCTGATCACGGGCAGGGGCTGATGCCAAAGTTTAATCCCATTTTGTTCACTAGAGCGTGGGTGCTCTAGGAGCAGTTTAACAGTCGGGCGAAACTGATATTCTTCGGGGAGGAGGTCCATTGGGAATGTGTGACGATGAGTGGGTCTGAACAGCGGCCGTTAGATGGGAAGAAGATATGGGATGTGATCGATGGTTCGATGAGCTTGGTTGCAGATAACTCCGATGACTCTGTAGACGATCCATATTATGGCTTGGAATGGTACGAGCTGGTGAAGAACTACACACGCCGCGGCATCACGAAGTCGTCGGACCGTCTCATTGCTATTGACGGTATCGCGCAAAGTGTTTAGACTCGCACATCTGACCGTTACATCGCTGGTCTCTGGGCACAAGGACTCCCGCTCGGACTCATGTGGTACATACCCTGGACTCTGGCGAAGAGCGGCCCGTGGCATGCCTTGGAGAAAGAAGCAAAAACGTACCTTTCCAGTCGACACGAGCAAGTGTTGGCGCCATCATGGTACGCACCCTCACAGACCTGCAGCTCACTTCCTAATCTCGCCCCAGGTCCTGGGCATCGACCACGTTCCCCGTAAACTGGTTTCCCCTATACGACAATCGAATAATGCCCACGTGCGACGTCCTTCACGCAGACGCCCACGGCACCTCGTTCAACACAAGCGGCACGCTCATCCTCCGCGGTACGATACCCCGGTACGAAGTCGCAATGTATAAGACATACACTTCGTATCTAACACCTTTTATCCAAGTTAACTGACTTCGTACCCACACATAGGCATGACACGCACCCTCTTCGTGTCGCCGTACTACCAAACTCTTCACTTCACCGGTACTACCACCCCCAACCCCCTCCTCTCCACAACCCCTCATCCCTCAAAACAAACAGAACCTGGCGCCACCACCTCACCTATGCCTCCCCAAAACACCCCTCCTGGCGCCACAGACTCGCCCCCGTACCAGTGGAGTTATTCCCCGAGGAAATCCTCGACACCTCATTGCCCATCACCTTCCTCGCCCTCGCCACTACGCCCGCCGGCACCCTTCCTCTATCCCTCACCAGGCGCTACACTACCGCTACGGTAACAGCGTCCCGCCGCTTGATCTACACGCTCGCGCTGCAGGCGACGGCTGATGACCCGCACACATTCCGCCGCGTGGGCATCGCGGCATGGAACAACTGCGCGTGGTTCGGGTATTTCTGCGTCGGGAAAGAGGTACAGCGTTGGGCCTTGACTGAAATGCTAAGCGTTTGGGAGGAAAAGGGGTGGGTGGCGGTGGTGATGGCGATGCTGGCGGTGCTGTGGGTGTGGGTGTGGGGAACGGTGTTTGGACTGGCAGTTATGCGGGTTTATGATGAGGGTGTGGTGTGGTTCAGGGGGTTGGTCAAGGGGAGTGGTGGTAGGCATGGGTGTGATGGAGATATCATGGCGGAAGCCACTTATAGGGAGGGCTGTGGAGCTGAGGTGAGGACGGTGAGGGTTGTTTAGCGTAGGTATTCGCTGTTGTAAAGTATCACTCTAAGATTTATACTTTGACAGACGAACCTTCATCTTATTTGTGGGCCAATCAGGAGCAACCTCGCTTCCACTACCGTGTACCGACAGTGGCCGAGCCACCGCGCTGGGCGAGCCACCCAACATCAAAACAACAACCCTAAGATAACATGCATTATAAGCGAGTTGCAAATCCAAGCGAGTTGCGAGCCCCACCAACCTTCTGCACCTCTCTACACGTAGACATCTATTTCTCAACTACCTATTCCTTCAATGCCTTTAAATGAAGCAGATATCTAGCTTGCTATTGCAGCAATTAGCACATCACAAATACTGTCAAGCAATAGAGTCTTTATAGATACGAGATGCACCGCGATAGTGGAGGTAGAGGTATATTGCCTTATAAGACTAGAGACGAACCGCTATCGAGCTACAACAGCGGTAAGGTAGGCTAATATACTGCGATTGCTTGGCATAACGGCCCGAACGGGCCTAGAGTAGCCTAGTGCCTAACAATAAGCGCCTTAAGTGTCACGGGGTCGGCAGGCAGGAAAGGTAGGTGCACGTGATCAGTATATTCACTACGATATCGCTGATAGTACTGTAGTGGAGTGTTTTGGTAGTTCTCCATCGGAACGTGTGCTCGATGCAAGTGAGTAGAGTATATTGTGTGTGTTGTATGTGTGGTGTTCGTTGTCTGAACGGGGTTCAGACATTCCTGTCCCTTTTCTACTCTCCGTGTTATCTCCGAGCCCGATAGCCCTTCAAATCTGCAGTCCCCCTAGATTCTCTACCACAGTACGGGGTCAGGCTAAGACAAGGACGTAGCTCAAGGAGCGTACGACAGGGCGCGTTCGCGCAGGAATTTCAGCGATCACGCAGCTGCTCGCTTAGCAGCTTGGCGCGCTCTAATAGGCTATCTAGGTCAGCGCCGTGACACATATCGCATATTCCTACTACCTCACTACCGCATTTATAATGTATTCTACGTATCCCTCCTAGAACGATAGAATTCTAGAGATAACTACGAGGATAATACACAACTACCTAAAGTTACCCTAGAAGGCTATAAAGTTTAGGAGGTTAAAAAAATCCTTAGAAAACAAGTAAGAAAAGGCTAACTACAATACTAGCTAAGATAGAAAGGATATAACAAATCTTAGGACACTTAGACCCTAGCTTTAGACTTTAAAGATATAGAGGAACTAGTTTAAGACTTCGAAAAGACACAAAGCTTACAGCAAGGTAAACGGCGAAAAAGATTATAAGAAACTCGTTTATAGCGCACCTAAGGCGTAAACCTGCTATGCAGGATTTGGGTATCTACGCATACAAAAAAGAAAAAATGCAAAAGGCGGAAAACTTCTTAGTCCTCACCACCCTCACTATTATCCTTACCTAGACCCTCCTCGCCTTCCTTACTACTATTAGCTCTACCTGCGCCCTAGTTGCCCTCTTCTAGCTCCTTACTACCTAGAGGCAGAAGAGAAGCATTAGAGTTAGAATTAGAGTCGGAATTATCACTAGCACTAGCACTAGCGCCCTAAAAGAAAAAGTTAGTTAAGAAAATAAGCTAGGAAAATAAGCATAAGCGCATACTATCTTAGCAGCATAACTAACGAGTTGCTCTAGCGCAGCAGCTATCCTGCGCTGCTTAACTAGGATTAAGCTTAAGAAGTAAGGAGAAGTTGTTAGAACTTAAGTAGGAACTCTAATTAGAGTCCTAGAATAGGCAGCGACGCGATAGTAGTTCGTAAGCTCTAGGTTAAACTAGCGCTAGTAACGTGCAAGCTTAACGCTAGTAGTAATTACTCTAGCGTTAGACTTAGGAGTTGCAGCGTTGTTAACAGCAGTATTATACTATGTACAAAGCTAGTACAGGCAATTAAGGCAGCCGTTTATCTTAGTAGGCACCTGTTTAGATTAGCTAAGGCGCAGCGCTTATAAGATATCTTAGTTACTTACTAAGGTACAACTACCCTAATTTCTAGCGGCACAGTGCTTACAGCGGCGATGCTTAGACTTCTCGCATATCTTCTTCTACTTAGTAACGTTCTAAGCGCAGCGCGTATAAGTTGCAACTAAAACAATATAGTTATGTAAGGGGCTACGCTTAGGGAGCTATTGCATAGGTATACTAGAGTTGTATTCGATAGAGAAGAGAACTACAGGTAGCTAGGGTTCTGAAGGTCGTTTAGGGGGCGGCGGCTCGGGATAACCTTCTGCTAGGCTTGCTTGCACAGAATCCGGGTGCTTAGGGGGGGCACCCGGAATCTGTGCACAGTGCGCCTCGCGCACGTAACCAAGATATTATTAAGGACTTACTAACTAGGCTCTAGCCTATTACATTACCCCCCTCCTCCCCTCCTTTTTAGGGGGTATCTCGTCGAAACCCTTCTAGTAGGCGTCCGTCTTCGTCTTAGTATTCTCTTGTATATTCTTCCTATTAATCTAGGGCTTCTGTATTCTCTAGGATTTCTACTAGTTCGAGGGTTGTCTAGTGGTATCCTTTCTACTTAACGTCGAAGTACAGTTTCTATCTACGTCTACGGCGTCGTAGTTGCTCTTCCAAGATCTCTTCTACTACCTACTCGTCCTTACCGTTAATCTGTAGCGGTAGTAGCTAGTAGTCGTCCTAAACCTAGCTAGGCAGTAGGTCAGAGTTTGCTAGGCGTAATCTGTCGACATAGAAAACAGGGTAATAGCCTCTTAGGGTGTCTAGCTTAACTAAATAGCTATTAACTACTTTAATTACTGTGTATTTAGCGCTTTTCTAGTCTAATTTTCGTAACAGACAGCCCGTTTAGTATTACTTATTAAGTTTTAGCTAAACCTTATCGCTAACCTTATAATTCCTTGCTTCCTTCTAGTGCCTATTAGTCTGCTTTTCTTATTTAGCTTACGCTGCAGCTATGCTCGCTTATGCTAGTTCGAACACGTCTTGGAATTTAGCTATAATAGCCTTAGCCTTATTACAGTCTAAACGTTCTTTAGCGGTGTACCTTTTCTTTTTAGCTCCTAGCAGGGTGTCTAGCTAGAGAGGATTAACGTTGTACCTATGTTAGAGGAAGAACAGGGCAACTCCTGTTAATGTTGCATCCCTCCTATTAATAGCAATCTAAGCTATAGGGCAGTACTTTACCTAATCCTCTTGTGACTAGCTAATAAACGCTTAGATGTATACTTCCTACACGCTGTTTATTCGTTCTGTTGCT